CTGTGGGAAAACTTTTTAAAGTTTTCTCAAATTGTATATGGGCGCATATAGTTTAAAAGCTCACTCTCTCTCTCTCTGATCGTTGCTTATGTAGCCCTTAACTGGGAATAATTGACGATGCCAGTTAAGGGTTAAGCATGGTGTACTTGATTAAATAAAAAAGTATTCTTCGAGGTAGAAAAACAACTAGTCTTCGTGTACATTTCTGCCAAGAAGAAGCTTTTCATGGAAATTATCTACCTGTTGTAGTGGCCTAATTTTCAAAGCCGCGGGTAAACACTACATAAAAGCATTTATATGCGGCGACCACAGCGAGCCTTTACCTTGGGCGCGCCTATATAAAATTTACAGAAAGCTTTAAAAAGCTTTTTCCGCGGTTCATGTTTTGCTGTGACTGATTTAAATGTTAAGTGAGGGAGCACACGATTTGTACACTTGTACAGATTTTGCTATTTTTACCGTTACAGAGTGGTGTTGTTTGGAAAGCTTTTACTGAGCTGCTCTCATTTCATTTTCATTTCATTTATTAATCTATGCATTAGTACAGAAAGATTAAGAAATCTTTTGTAGTACAACAGTAATTTATATATGTATGAGACAATGAAGGTTATAATGAAAATATTTAATTAGGACTAACGTAAGATAAACAAAACTGGCACAGGTATTAGTTGTATAAATTTAGAAAATAAATCTTTGTGATATTACATATATATATACGTACGAAGAGAGCACATCTCAGTGTAACAGGTATTTAACTTAAGACAAACTAGCGAAAATATGAATACAAGAGACTCTTAAAGTTGCTTTTATTCAAAGTACTACGGATGGAGGCTGGAATAGCGTTCCATATACGAATAGCGTTGACAAAAAATAGCCTTGCAGAGCTGAGATAGTTATAGCTAGGGACAATTAGGTCACTTACACGGTTTGATTTTGGAAATATTAATTTTTCGATAAAAATTTCTAAACAACGCCACTCTGTGACTGGCCCCTTTTTTACGAATTTTTCGCCGTACAGAGATTTTGTTTGACAAATGCAAAAAGTATTGAAAGTATGCTGCCAGAAATTATGATTTTCATCAAAATCGCTGCTTCAAATAGAAAAAATACGATTTTGGGGAAATTTTTTTTACAAAATAGTTAAAGAATATAAATATTTATCGGAAATCTTATCCCTTCGATCGCTCCCCGAAAAATATATGTATTTGAAAATCTTGTGTTAAAATTTTACCAATCGGTTGAGCCGTTTTTGAGAAATCGTGCTTACCGACCTTGAAGACAACATTTTGAGAAAAACGCGTTAATGTTTCCCAATTTTACTTTCCAATACTCCTAACCCATCCCAATTAATATGCGTGTATCTCCAAGAATATTTGTTGGATAATTTGGAACTTTTCAGAGAACATACGCAAATACTTACATATATCGAGCGCAAACCGCCAAAAATATGGAAGCGACATTTTTTTCAAAATTTTCTCTTTGATCCAGAAATGTTCCTAAAAAATTAAAAAAAAAAATGTCGCTTACATCTTTTTGGCGGTTAGGCCTGGATATGTGAATTCCGAAAAATAAATAACAAAAATAGTCGGGTGGTGGGATATCGATTTCGTTTTCATCGACTTGAGGCTCGAGCTCAGTGTTTGTTCTTACAGGAAACCGCTCGAGCATTGCTTAACTTTCTGTTAAAATATGCGGTAATTTTTAGGCATTTTTTTATTACACAAACAACGTCTCGCTTCCCTCTGCAGCGCCGTGACGTTTTTCGAAAGTTGTTCTTTACTCGTTAAAATCCAAAATCTTCTTCGCTGGCAATGAGTTTAATAAGCAGGAGATCCGAAGCAGAAGTTTTTTGTTGTCTACTGAATCTCGAGATTTCAAACAAGTGATCACTAAGTATGCGTATGTGCATGCAGCCTTACAAAACTTCCGAAGATGTTAGAAATTTGATTCACCTCATTTCTGGACACTTTTTTCGTAATTATTTTCAATTATCTTTACACGCGATACTCGTTACAACATGAAATGAAAATTAGAAATACAACTAAACAACTAAAATACCATCAATCTTCATAGCCAAAGAGGAAGGAAATTTCCAGCAGCGTCACTACTACCACAATTTTAGATAAACTCATTCGACAGAATGCAGTGCAGCCGCGCCGTCATTGTTGCACACTACATGTTGCATGCAACGTACACGATGGCGACGGCCTAGGCTCTGCGCGCATGCGGCGGCTACACGCTTTCATCGCTGTTGTGCTTTATTAATATTAGTTTTTTTTTTTTTTGTTTCAATCATTTTTTCCAATAAGTACTTTGGCATCATTTTATTTCCTCTTCTACTTTGATTGCATCGATATTGTTGTTGGAAATGTGTTGGCGTGTTTTTATTTTCATTGCTTTCTTGTGTGTTTTTACACACGCAACAGATGCTTCGATTTCGAAAACCATTTGCGCTTTCGATCGATGAGTCTTTGAGGATGGTGACAAATGGGTCACACCGTTGTCTACTTGTCGACATTTAAAATGCTTTGTACAATAGAAAAAGTGTAAGTGCTCTTTTTTGTTCATATTCATGCAAACACTTGACGCATACAGCTTTTTTTCTTATTTCGACTTTTGGAAAAAAAAACAGAAAGGTGCATACGCACCATATTTCATTACTACCCTCTAGGAAAGTGCACTACTACGACAGTAAATAACTATACCTCGTTCTAGTTAATTAAACGAATAGTTAACACTTACAATTTCTGGTAGAAATGTAGTTTGGAGTAAACTTTTCTGAAATAAAACTGTTCTGTTCTGGTAATTATCAATGTTTTAATCGATATCTTTCTCAGTGTCGGCAAATTGTTTATAGATTTCGTTATTCATAAGAATATCGTTTTTTTTTTGTATTTCCGCATATTGCCATTCTTAATAATAATAATAATAATAATGGATTGGCGCTTACACATAAGTTAGTGTTTGGCCGAGCTTCTCCTCCAATTTGTGGCGTGCGCCTTGATGTTGTCACACAAAGCGGAGGGACCTACAGTTTTACGCCGACTCCGGCGATTGTATTTTTATGAGAAGCTGATTTTCATGGCAGAAATGCACTCGGAGGTTTGCCATTGCCTGCCGAGGAACGACCGCTGTTAAGAATAAACCTTTTTTTTTTGCGATGTTGCTTTGACCAGGGCTTGAACCCAGGTGTTGCGGAGTGGAAGCGCGCACTGCTTACCATTACACCACAGCGGCCATTATTAACCATATTTTAATCGACAAAAATATGTATATGTACGTATGCATGCGCATTAGAGTGGTCAAATTTTTGTACGGGGGAAAAAAATTGCATACTAGAAAACGGGGCACCCCCTTAGTTTTCTCCTTTTCATATTTGTATTATCTATAGCAACTTTCAATTTTCTACTGTAACCAATGCAGGGTGCTCAATGACCTTAAAATGCGTTACTGGATCACTGTGAAACTAGCAAAAATATGGTGATTTTTATAAAAAGCTGCTGTTGCCATGACAACTGAAGCTTGTGATATTTTTTAGAAAATTTAAATTTGAAATGTTCTTAGGTTGCTTATCTATTTGTTTAATTAATATTATTTATTTCCACATATGACATCGGTAAGTTTCAACATCATCCTTTCTTATTAGTTCGTCACCAGTACTGAGTGTACAGTACATTTTTATCCTAGTCGAGCTTGTAACTCCTGTCCTGTTATGCTTGTATGCTCTTAGTCGAGTCATAAAGTTCGTTGAACCAAACACTTATGTTTAAGCGTCTTGAGGTTTCCCTGCAGGGCACAGTCACTTACCTTAGCGTATGGGCGCGCGCGTGTGTGTATGTGTGTATCTTTCTACGCAATTTGCTCTCACTTGTAACTATTTTAGTATAATTTTCTGTTATTACCACATGTTTTCCTTGCCATTGTATTCTACAGTTGCGCGCTAGTGTTTTGCCACAGTTACAGCTGTAGACGTCATTGAATCACGTCTACTCACAAAGCTCAAGAGTTTATGTTATTGCGGTTTCTTAGTCGACAGTGGTGCAATACCGCCAAACCGGAGAATATCGAGGTTTTCTCAAAGTCGGTAGGGTTCCGAAGTTAAGTTTTCCTTTTCCACTATTCTTCAATTTTTATATATCGAAACATCCCTAACCCCTCCCCCTCCATCTCAGTGCATTTCCTTGATCTTATACGCCACTGATCGTTAAATTTTGGCGGCGGACAATGACATTGATGACTTATGTTTCAAAGGGACTTGTCATCTCTAAGGACTTTCCAGCATCTTTACTGCAAGCAACCTAACACTTTGCCTTACGAAATCAACCACGACATGTTTTATGGCATGGACGAAAGGGGTCAAACTGAACGATACTACAATACCGACCGCGAATAACCAAAAACTTGTCGCGGTTAACTTTGACAGCTTGCTATTCTCCGTTATCGTAATCGTCAATAACGTGCAGAATCGCAACATAATCCTCAAACATAGTCCTTGCTAAGAGCACTTGAGGCAATGACATGGTAAACTTGCAATACGATTGGTCCGCCGGTTATAAAATAATGCTGCGTCTGTGTGGGCACTGGCCACTTGTAGGTCTAAGTAAATGAAGTTTCAGACCCGTCGCACGTTATGCCTTCTTACATATATGGCCTAAGCATCACTTACATAGCGAGGTGGAAATGCACTCGCATCGTGTTGAGAAAGCAGTTCCTGTGGTGACGTTACCGCAGTGGCCACATCTGCAGGCACCTACTCAAAGCCGCTGCTTTATCGCTCGTTAGAAGCCATTTAATGAATCTCAAGGGCCAGGTTCGGCCATACGCACGTTATCCGCTTTAAATCTAACGCATCTTTCTCCCACCTTGTGAAAATGGTTGTGGGACATGTGAACCAGGAGAACCTCTTGTTAGCACTATATTTGTCTTTGTGCCTATTAGTTTTTAAATCCATTACCAAAATATTAAAAGCTATCATTCTTTTTCTTTCGCTATCTTTGCAGAATCCCAATCTCTCCGCCAATGCCTCACCATTCCGCCGGGCTTGGGGTCAGTCGTCCTTTCGCACGCCACGCACCGATAAGCACGCCCATCACCAGCAGCAACAGCTGCAATTGCAACAACAATCCGGCCAGCATCAGCATCTCAGTCCATTAGTGCGTCGCGCCTCATCGATGACTGCCTCCGACAATGATGTCTACATCAAGTCCGTGCATCACGGCGGCTACCATGATGAGCTCAAACAAGCGCGTAGTCAACATCAGTTGGCTACAGCAGCGGCTGCTTTGGTGGCTGCGAGAAATGCCGATTGTTCTGCGGGATCTATGGCAGCACCACAATTGGCGACGACAAACGCCACGTGTAGTAACAATAACAACAATGGAGACAGCAATGGCATTGGACAGCTGAAATTGTCACAGCTCAAGACCACACTTGCGCCTCCGCCCACAGATAATGGTGGCGTTGGCGGCGTGGCCGGCTGGGGTACAGCCTTTGAACGGTTGCTGGACGATCCCGCAGGCATGCACACTTTCGCCGAATTTCTGAAGAAGGAATTCTCTGCAGAGAATATCTACTTTTGGACCGCTTGCGAGCGCTTTCGTGCGCTGGAGAGCGCCGCTGAGCGTGCAACGCAAGCGCAGGCGATTTTCTCGAAACATCTGGCAAATGGCGCTTTGGAGCCAGTAAACGTAGACTCGCACGCGCGTAGTTTGACACAAGAGAAATTGCGGAGCGCAGAGCCGGATATTTTTGCGCCGGCACAGAAGCAAATTTTTAATTTAATGAAATTCGACAGCTATCAGCGTTTCATACGTTCCGACATGTATAAGAGTTGCCTAGAGGCGGAGGAGAAGCGCCAGCCATTGCCGTACAAGGCGGACGATTTAGATGAATTGCTACGAACGCCGGTGCATCAGCAGATGGTCGCTGCAATAGGCAGCGCTGCGTCGAAGGTTAGTAAGCAAACTTTAATTTCGCAAAACACTGGAGTTGTCAAGTGCCAATTTTTATTTTGATTATTATTTTTTCCCCAGCTGAAGAAGTCCGCCAGCAATGCAGAGGACCGCTGCCGCAAGAGTTTGTTGCCTTGGCATCGCAAAACGAGCAACAACAAAGCACCACGTGATGTTGCCGATGCAGGCGCTGAAGCGAAAAGCTCAAGTAATAAGCATGCGCCACTTTCCAGTCACTCACTCAAATTGGCGCACACACAGAATTCACAAAGCGACATACATAGCTCGCGTTCGTCGCTCTCCTCCTTCGATGGACTGCCTGGCGCGTCTATACTGCCAGGCACGTGTCGCGTCATCTTGAGTGATGCCTCCACAACAATGGTGCAAATGCGCCCCAACGAAACCGTTGGTCAGCTAGTGGAACGTTTACTGGAGAAGCGTGGCCTTAGCTATCAATATTACGATGTAGTGGCCAAGGGTACTACCAAATCGATTGATTTGCAAACTTCATCACAGACACTCGTTGGCAAGGATGTGCTCATAGAGCAGCGTGTCGCTTTCAAGCTGGATTTGCCCGATCGCAAAGTCATCTCTGTGAAAAGCAAACCCAAGAAGCAATTACACGAAGTTGTGCGTCCCATTTTGCATAAATACAACTACGATTTCGAGGCAGTACAGGTGGTGTTGCGCGAAACGCAGGAGCCAGTCGACCTGTCGCTCACTGTGACTTACGCTGATGGGCAGCGGCTGCAGGCTGTATGGTTGAAGCCACCGCCATTAATGCTTAGCAGCGACTATCAAAATGGCAATGGATGCGCGGCCAAGGTGGCAAAGCCTTCGGCTTCGACAAAGAGCGTCTCCTTTCCCAGCAGCGTTAAGCAAGCGAATTGTGGCGGCAGTGTACGCAATGCCACCAATGCTAATGGTATAGTTGTGAGTTCGCTTTCGACACATCCAAATCAGAGCGCCTTGGATGAGCTGACCAACAAAGTGTTCACAGAGTTGATGCAGGTTAAAGTAGAAGCCGCGAGCGCAGAAAAGCAACCGCAATTGGTAGCAATCAACAGCAAAGCGAATGATCTCGCTTCGCTTAAGGTGAGTTTGCTAGAAAATTATCTTTATTTGCTGTAAGAGAAAATTTTGATTATAATATTGAACGCAGCTATAGTGTTATCGATAAATTTATCGAAATATCGAAAATGTCGAAAATCCGTCACTAACTATGCCGACATAACTACATCGATTTTGTTCAATATCTATGTAAGATGTGTGGCTACTGATGAATTTAGCGATAATATCGTAGCAATAATCCCGCAAATAACAGCTAACGTAGGCATCTAGTTTCAAGTCAGGTCCTCATAGGTTTAATTTAGTTTTTTCCCCGCTTTTAAATTTAGTCCGATGACTGCGCCTCAGAAACCTCATCCATTTTTGAGCGCATACGTCGACGCGATGCCAATATTGCTGGCCTCAAGCTGAAGCTAAAAAAGCGATCCACAAGCAGTCAACATTCCGAGGAGACGAATCAAAGCAGTCATACAACAGCTAGCAATGGACAACTAGCCGCGCCTACAGTGTCCACTGCAGCGTTGGATATAAAGAAACCGATTATTGCAAAACTAAAAGCGGGTGTGAAACTGCAAATGCCCGAGCGAGTAGCTGAAAATCAAGGTAAGCATAACTAATAGTGGTTTACAGTTATGCATGATGGCCTGGCACACATTTTTTCTCCCTAAATGGGATAGCACTTTTTTCCTTGCAATTCGGGAATAATATTTTTTTTTTTTTCATTTCCCCGTTTTCACAGATGAACTACTCGAAGGCCTAAAGCGTGCCCAGCTCGCTCGGCTAGAAGATCAACGAGGCACGGAAATTAATTTTGAACTGCCCGACTTTTTAAAAAATAAAGAAAATCTCAACGCTTCGAAATTGCGTAAAGCGCGCGCTAATCTCAGTCCTATCAACAAGCCCTACACAGCTACTGCGGCCACTACTTCACCCATGCATGCCAGCTTCACCACTACCAGCGTCTCCACCGCCTCAGCAGGCACCGAGGAGCTACCCTCACCGCAGCTTGAACGTCCACAACCCGCGCCACGTCTTTCCATAACCAACAAGTTGAAAGGAAACACACCTCTCGCTTCTGCTCTGAAGCCAGAGGAGGAGTCAGCAGCACCGACCACCACCAATTTACTTGAAGGACATCAATCGCAGCCAACCACACCGCAACCAAATACTTCGAGCTCATCGTTAGAAGCTGAGTATGCAGCGGTAGCGGGTAGTTGCAAGGGGCCACCCCCCTTGCCGCCCAAACCCAAAGTCTTGCCCATCAAACCATCGAATTGGGGTGCTGCTTCTGCTGCTGCTGCCAACCTGTCTGCCTCGTCCACGACTACATCGCCCACGGCTCCCTCAAAGACATTGCCGTCGTTGTTGCCAGTGGCTGCACCTAAAAACTACACCACTGTCGGGTTGTCTAAGGGCATTACCACAATGGTGGATGATGCTCCAAAGCTGCTGCATGTCGCCAACAAGCATTGCTTATCGAATGAAATTGTGCCGCGTAAAACGCATTTGAGTTTAGCAGCTGAGCAGCCGACATCAGCACGTTGTGCCTATCTCGAGGAGCCGAGTAGTAGCTTTGTTTGAATGGGGAGAGACATTTAAATAGACATATATGTATGTATATAGTAAGATGAGGGAGGGTGTGTAAGGGTTATAAGATGGCTTGCATTTTCCAATTCCATTCTTCTAATAGCCAAAATTATTATAATATTCAATATCCACGCCTAAGTGATAAAGATTATATATGTATTTACAAATGTTTGTACTATGTCCATAATGAACCATTGCTATTTATTCGCATATTTCATTTTCAATTCATTGATATTATTAAGTTATCATTTTATCTACATATGTATTTGAATGTAAATATTTGTATGGCTTAGATTTTATTTATAAATTTATGCATACATAATAATACACATATGTGTGTATAAATTTTGAATGTTACCGAAAAGAAATTTTTCAATAGCAGTTAATGTAAAATGATTACATCGACGAATGTTTCTTATCTTAGGATTCAATTGTATTTCATGCAATGACAGTCATAAGCCTTAATTTTTATTACTCTACATAATATGTATTTGGGAAACATCGAAATTTTAGATAATAAAGTAAGATAATTAAATTAAATGCTAATACATATGTATATGTATATGTTTTGAGCTTTGATTGGTAAGGGTTTTTGAAAGCTACATATGGTTCAAGTATTTAATTTTAATTGATAAAAATTTATATATTTTTCTCTTTTACGTCTTGAGGAACGCTAAATTCGTAATTGCTTAATTCGTTAAGCATGTCAGCATTTTCCCAGCGGGTCTTGATTGGAACTTAACCTCAAAAGAAACTTAAAAAAAATCAAAAAAAAATTGCGAAAAAATTATCGCATCAAAAGGATTGAACCAGTTTTGGCAAGGGTAGGTCGAAGAAAATCAGACAAAATTTCAAATAATTACCTAGAGGAAAAATCAGAGCATATTCGGAGAACGTAAATTATAATTAATTTTTATAATTTCTTGTGCTGTAATTCATGTCTGTTCATCAGCGACTCTTCACTAGATCAAAGTTACTGCTCATTAGCCGCGGAGAATACTTAATCAAGGCTTAGGCATGCCCAAACACTTTATTTTTTATTTATTCACTTGTATGTTTATTTAATTATTTTGATTCTTATTTTCGGGCTCTGAAGCAATGAGGAGCGACCCAATAGTCCCTGTAGTTAGTAGGTTATTCCTCTTAGTAGTAATCTTCTGGTATGTCCAACGGTGTTCCACAGATATACATATGGTAATATCGCTGAGGGCCAGAACCACGTGCAAAAGTTTATGCTATGCTTTCATCTTCAATTCTCTATTTCTTATGAAATGTTATATCGTTTTAAAATGTATATTATGGTTTTTTAGTAGGACACTTTACGGTCCACAAGTAACCAAGTTATTCCTCAAATTTAATAACACTGGTTTACAGCAAAAATGTTCTATAGATGCCACTATCTAATTCCTATGTAGAATTGCTCGGTAATTCCGAAAACCGAAGTAATTTTTTTCTATTGATAACTTTTAGGGATATTTTCAATTTACTGTTATTTGCTTAAAAAGAGCGGTTTCACTAAATCACGTATATTTTACGAACCAATTTTTTCCTCTTGTTAATGTTAGAATTTTTTCCATTCTTTCATCAAAAAAACAACAAATCTAGAATGATTAATTTCTCAAAAACTATTAGGGCTATCAAGAATTTCATTATGGAGAATTTCACTTCCTTTTAAATGCCGCATCTCGTATTACGATTATTCAATGGGTTCGTAATATATATATGTACGTGATTAAATGGAACCACTCTTTTCTAAGCTGAATAACGGCAAGTTGCAAATATCTCGAAAACATATCCATAAGAAAATAACTCGATTTTCAGAATCAACGAGCGATTCTACATACAAATTGGATAGCGGCGTCTAGAGAACAAAAACAAAATTAGAATTTGCGATCCATTGTGTTTAAATAGCAGGGAACTAAGTCCTGGTATAGCCAGGTAAATCCTCCAATTTAATAATTTTTTAATTATTCGTCAAATTATATTTGTTAAAATATAACTTTCTAAAATTTAAAATAATTTTTTTTTAATATTTCATTATTTAATTTCTAGGGACAGTTATTTTAAAGATTTTTTTTTTCACAGTTAGTTTGTTCATACGATAATACCATTTCAACGGTACGCATTTAACATTTTCAATTAATTGCAATCTTTTTATTCTTTATATCAACGTGTATTACTTTACATATGTAATTTTATTTTATAGATATTATTTTCACTTTATTCAAACTTAATATTTTAATGAAACGCCTTCATTTTTTTTATAATTATTTCAATCTAAATTTTTGTGCTTAATCACGAACGATTTTATTACTTTCTTTTTGCGAATAACGATTACTCGAACCTCATGGCCGAGGAGCCTTTTTGCGACTCGAATATCTTGATTCTATACAATTTTTTGGCGTTATATGAAAACAATTGGTAGCGCCTGAATGTATGCTACGTTTTTACACAACTTACTACATATTTATATTCTGTATCAGTGACAAATTTGTGTGTTGGCAGGTGATTCATTACAGTGCAATCGTTGGATTTCAAAAAGGTTTATTTGCAAACGAAATCAATTCATTCACTTTTCAGTATTTGTATGAACTTTTATTTGACCGTTCGATAATTCAACATTTTTATTCTAAAGCCTGCCAGCAAATAGTATAATCAAATGGACGCACTTGGCGGCGTCGGCGCCTTTGCCTTGCTTTCACTACCCGCCTCCACAGCTGACACCGTTGCCGATGCTGCCGCAATCTGCGCCGGCTGCTGTTGTGTTTGTTGCTCTGCACCACTTTCTAATTTCTTGTCACCTTCGGGTAACAGTTCTATTGCTTCTTCTGGCTCTTCAATTACTTGATAAGTAATTGGTGCTGGCTCCTTTGGTGGCAACCAGTCAGGTATGATTTTAGCGTGCAGACGCCATTTCCCATATTCATTGGAGATATGCTTTTCGAAAACCACATATTCGAGCACATCTTTAGCTACAATCTCACTGCCATGCATTAAGCGTCCAAAGCGATCGTAAATCGCCAACAATTGTTGTGTGTGAAAGCGCACAGTAACTTGCGCATATAAATTTTCCTTGCTTATAATATCCGTCACACGTGCATGTACGACGCGTGGCGGTTCCAATGATTGTATGAAGCTCCAGTGTATGGTCTTATCACGCACATTGTGCATCATTTCGGGATAACAGCGCTCCGTTACAAATTCACGCAATTCATGTTTATTCTTCGCTGCTATTTGAGTGTGCGCTGCAATATAGATGTCCTGAGACTGACTGGTAAAGTCACTGGTGCTAAAGTCTTCATCGTATGAACGTATTTTACGCACGGCCATAACACTTTTTGATTTCTTCTCGAGAAATTCGAACTTTTGTTTGGCACCCGCTGAGGAAATGAATGACTTTTTGCCATCACCCTCTGGCGGCACATAAGCTTCGAAAATACCGCCGGTGCAACTTATATGGAATGGACGCTCCAACCAGGGTCGGGGTGGCAGCACACCACGTTCTTTCAATCGACTCCGTATTTCGTCCTGCGTCAGATCACCAGGTTTCTCCTGGAAGTTGGGTAATTCCACCTTGACGAATTTTTGGGCACGTAGCTTCTTGAATTTCGGATTCCAGTGTTTAGTTTGGCGATGACGCAATTGTTGGGCCTGTAATTGCAACAGCGCTTGCATGGCTGGGGGCTGCGCTAGCTTTAGTTGGAGGAAAAAGAAATAGATGGGCGATTACATTGGGGTTATGGTGCAATATTTTAGAGAATGACTAAGTAATCGATATTTACCTGTAGCATTTTAATGCCACAACGTGCTGAGGCTGCAAGTTCCATTGTTTGTGATATCAGTGTCTTTCTTTAAAAAAAAAACGCAAGAATTATAGGCCAATTACTACTTTTACACAACCTTTTCGATCGGAATTCACATTTGGCGATATTAGAGGTGGGTAACTCAACTCAGAGTTGAGTTATTGAGTTGATTCCCATAATTGGATCGGTAAATCAGACTCCCTGTCCAAAAAAATTGTAACTCAGTAACTCAGTTGACGCCCTAGGGCACACATGATTCAATTGAATCATAGTGGCTCATATTTGTCCATATAACTCTCTCACTTCGCCACAGTGGTGTTTAGCATGGCAAAGTCTTGCATTTTGTTTTTGAACGAGGCGAATTTATACAAGGTGGTGGCAAGAATACAACAACAACAAACACATGTATTTTCTATTGCGGGTGTTATGTCAAATCTCAAAAATTCTTATAATTTCGTTTTTTTTAGTTTTTCTCGAAATATGTATGTATGTATGTATGTAAGATATATAAAGATGTGCATATCAAATCAATTGCCTTTCCAACCATATCCACATTTTGAAATTCGGTACAATAGTTTTCGAAAAATGCATAAGATTTTGAAAATATTGAAAATTCCACCTTTACCCTCCCCTCGCACCGCCCCTATCAATTTGCACAAAAAAAAATTACACCTTTCAAATCAGTAGAAAGGAGCTGACCACGCCCACTTTAAAGTTTTGTTTTATCTCAACGGCCGCTAACCGCATTTATGCCTCAAAACGAGTCTACGATACGAATGAGTGTAACATACAACAAAGAGTCAAATGAGTTAGTTGAAAGTTAAAGTTAGTTGGAGTCATTGAGTCTACTCCTATAAATTTGCTGAGTTACCCACCTTTAGTCAATATGACAAAATGTCAAAATCAGCTTATTGGCCTAGTGCCGTGTGTTTTTGATTCGGTTATAAATAAAGATTGACCACATCGGTGGCGAATGTCGCTGATATCAAATATGATTGAACATTTTTTCAATTTGCAATGATAGCATAATGCGCCATGTCGGTATCTTTATGTTATAACAGTGTGGCACATCAAAAAGATTTCGATACACATTTTCCAAAGGTTAATAATCTAGGCAAATGATGACTATCGCCGATTGGTAGCCGGTTACTTTTCCATTGAAATTCACCTGTGTTCCAGGAATATTTAAAAACAATTGTGAATTCCAATGAACTGTGAATGCAATATCAAGAAGCAGCATAATTATTGATTTGTATTCACAATCTTTAATTCAAGTACGCAGCAGTGAAATTTGTGGTGCTCCAGGAAAATGTAGAAATTTTCGGTCTTTCAATAAACGGATTAATAAAATATTTACTAAAACTAAAAAACGATTGTCGGTAGTTCTTTTTGCGAGTAAATTTAATATCGAGAATCATGGATTTTCCACAGCAATTGGAAGGTAAAAATCAAGTCTTTAGACAAGGCGAAGAAAGTATCGACTTGAATGGAAAAATGGGTGGACAGTGGTAGCGGGTGGTATCGGGCAAACAATGCAGCAACAATAATTCATGCTAAGCATTGCAGTGGAGTGAATGTAGCTTATGATTCCATGGAGTGGGTATTCAATTCCGATTGAAACGCCTTTGTTATCTCCTCAGCACCACTCGCTGCCGGTGTGATGCAAGCTGGAATATTGATTTTTCGGAAAAATGCATCTGCAATTGAAATATGTTTACTTTGACCTAATATTTCTGTTTTTCTATTATTTAAGATCATGTAAAGCAACAATAATTGGCCCGAATTGGATAGCAGTTTTCTAAAATCTAAATAAATTCCAAAATATCCTATCATAAATTCCTGCATATAAAGTGGATATACCTACCTACAAAATCTCTAACGTGTATACATTTTTCATACATATACATATGTACATAACTATCTTCAACTATATACAGAAATTTTAGTGGAGCGGCCACCATCCTCCTTTGATGTTATAATGGAATCACCATTGTGTGCTGCCAATAGCGTTGACCGGAAAGGGATCGCTTACAAAGCAGGCAACAAGTTTGAAACCACTTCTGTGTTAGATAAAATGAATACCAGTATAAATAGCACATTGGAGGATACGACACCAAGTGACTCTGGTGTACAGATGCTGGACTCGGAATCAAGCGAATTTATGGTAGAATCCATCACATCACAGTCAGGTTTCGAATTTGAAGAATTAAAATCATATGCACAAGAACGCGCTGATAGTAATGAACAGGTGGCTGTCGTGGCAGGGCCACCGCCAGCAGTGGAAGAACGTCATTTCGTTAGTGCGGCATTCGAAGAGATTGTAGCTGGTGTGGATACTAATTCTAATGTAACTACAATAGACTCGACAAACGATAACTCCCTTAATAACGTCCCCATCGAAGAAGCAATGACCACGAGCACTTGTTCTACTTTCGATGCCACAGAAAATATTGTATATCGGAGAAAAGTACGCAAAACACCTATCGCACCCAAGGCGCCCAAAAAGCGTGTCTCTTTTCACGAGGACATACTCAAGAATACACGCACCGACAACATACACATTGAGCATGGCTTCATAACTTATAAGGCAGGTCGAAAGGCACTACAACATATTGGCGCTGCTGGACGCTATTCGTGGTGTTCGGAGGGTGATGGCGGTGCAGCTGGCAGCAATGCAGCACAATCCGAGTTGTGTGCGCACGCGCACGAAGATGAAGGAGAACAAAAGAGTTGCGAACAAAGACGACGCTGTGTTGTCTATCGGAATGCATGCTCTGATGTACTCGACTATGGCAATTCGGATGTTTACGATATGGAGGAACAAAAGGCATTACAATATGATAATTCAGGAGTTTTTGAGTATATGCCAAAGGAGCGTAGCGTTGCAGCCGAAAATGCTGGTGTGAGCAACATTGGAGCAGAAGGCCAACAAGTGTTGTATCGATGCTCCTGCTCTAGTTCGAATTCCAGCTTGGACTCTGATGAAAATGAAAAAAATTCAAACAGGCAGCAATATGGACAGGCAAAAAGTAGTTCATGCGATTGCATCGGCATGAGTAATGCCAACAATAATATAATTGGTGAGTCATTATTGCGAATAACGGGGCTTTTGTTTTGCTTAATTGATAATGAATAATGTAGCAGTCAGCAAAAAAGAATTTGAGGGAGGAAGAAATGCTTCTGGACTTATCCTGAGTTTCGCCCGAAAAATTTTTCACCCAAAAATTTGTAATCCGCCCATAGTAAATACATGGAAACAAAACGGGAAAGGGAACCGGTTCGGGAAAAATGAAACTCGTGATAATGCTGATTATTTGGCATTAATTTTCAAAAGTTTTAACCATTACAAAAAAAAAGAATGAGAATTTTAAGTTTTATTTTTTTTTTGCTAAAAGAAAAATTCGCGGGTCACAGTCGTTTTAAATTTCAGGATGTTACCTTTAGTAGCGTAGAATTGACTTTAGAAAACGGATGAAGAGCTTTAGTCGCATCATGCATCGAAATTTAAAAATTTTACTGCTAAATTAACAAACTTATAGTAGGTACTCACATACATATATGCATTTTTATAAGCAGATAGATAAGCAGTAGGGAAACATTTTTTTTACTAAAAAGTATGGAACTAACTTCAAACTCTCTTTTGGAATGCTATTTTTGGCTAACTGATTAATTTTCTATTTTCTTCCCTTTAGGTGACAACTGCTATTTCTCCGAACCAAATATCGACAACCTAAATGAGAATAACCAGAAGAAATCCGTTTGGAACAAGGAAAAGAAACCAAAGTCAAGTTGTTTAAAAAAACCCAAACGCAATACCAACATCATCTACGAGCAGGATCTGAGTACACGAGTGAAAAAATTCAATGTGCATGATATGAATCAACTGATTGATAACAGTAGCAAAATAATTATTGGATCGTTGAAGAGTATCTTCACCATGCCGCTTCCGGAACGCGGCGTACCCGAAGGCTCCGAAGATCTACAATCAGTTGTCGAGTGCATACCAGAACTGGAGCCACAAACGCCAGAGCATAAATCGACAAAACCAGCAGAAGATCAAATAATATCACCACCTTCGCCACCACTCAAACAGAAACCATTCCTAAGCAAAAGCCTCGATGGCTCTAAAAAGTCGCAAGGGGTTAAGAAATTTGTACACAATGTGGATGAGCAATTGCGACGTAAGAACGATGAAGAAATGTATGCACCAACGCGTCAAAGCAGTGATGAGAAAACTGTCACAGATACGCCAAACAGGACGCTGCAGAGGCAAGAAGAAATCGATGCAGATCAGCGCAATGAGCTCGTGAACACCAATACGCAAACGCAACAGAACGATGAGTCGAACACCGACATTCAACAGCCGCAGCCGTCTACTGAGCCACCGACACAATTTCGTAACAAATTTATTGTTAATTGTGAGAGCACTGTTTTCGAGCATACAGGTGTTTCCTACTGCTATGATACAAATGAAATGCTTAATCTCGATTTGCATACAGCTAGCCATACGCCTGGCAGTGTGGCTTCTAGCTTGCTATTGGAAGATGATACACCAATCGCACAACCAGAGCCGGATCAGTTGCGTAGTGCATTTAGCGCTGCTCCCATAGCAAAGACATTCTCAAACTTCTTTCGCAGTTTCAACAAAGATTCAACTTCAACGCCCAATGCTAAACAGACGTCAACAGAGGCTACTAAGGGTATTAATATTGCAGAAACGCAGCAGAGATCAGGCATTGACATGAAATTCTGTGAGTAGAAAAATTTGATACTAATATTTATTGGTCAAAAATTTCGAATTTAAAAATTTATTTTCTTCGGAAACGAGCACTAGAAAAATCTATCTCATGATCCACTGATCGGATCTTAACCAGATTAGTATGGGACCACCTCTGAGACACTACCTTTCCGATGCAAAAAGAATTATCGGTTGACGTGGTCCAAAGTTATGCGGTAACATACATAAAAAAAAATTTTAAAAAAATATTCCGACGAACTGATAACCTCCTCCTTTTTTGGAAGTCGGTTAAAAATTTTTAACCGACTTCACAAAAAGGAGAAAGGTTATCAATTCGTCGAAATATTTTGTTACCGCATAACTTTGGACCACGTTAACCGATTTCTATAATTCTTTTTATAAAGGAAAGGTGCTACCTCACTGGTGGTCCCATATTAATTTATTTTACATCCGATCATCGGATCATGAAGAAATTAACGATAATCTTAAATTTGTATATGAGAATTGAAGTCGGTTTTGTTTTTTTGCTTAAAAATGACTTGTTCAATACCAATATGCTATAATATATGTACTTTGCTTTCTAGCACCCAATACCAACTCTCTTACGAATGCTAACGATCTCAAGCAACTTTCCAACCATCGATTACCCAACACAATCTCTTCATCGACAATATCTGAGTTGACCAACACCTCCAGTGCGAGCTCATTGCCACCAGCGATGTCAAAAGCTGCCAGTGCTTCAATTTCAGTTGGTAGTGTGGGCAATAGCAGCAACAACAGCCTAGCTATAGGACAAGAACTGCGTGGAAATATAGAAAAACAGCAACGTCACTTGCCTTCGCCACTGAAGAAGCATGCTAGTGGCAGTACTTTGGCCGCACAACCACAACGCTATGGAACAAGTTCGGGCAGCATTGGCAATTCAGCTGCTTGTCCTCCATCCGACCCGTCTTTGCTTAGTCCTGATATTTTTAATGTCGGTATCACTGTCGGCTTAGCAAGTAGTTCGGTTGGTGGCGGCGGTTGCGCAGCTGGTGGTTACATTGGTGTACGTGGGGGCTGTGGACGTGATTCGAAGAGTACCATACTCAGCGAGGAGTTTGATGATATTATAACCATTACAACGGATACGGATAAAAATGAAAGTGATATTGTTATTGTTGATTACCCCAGTGAGTTGAGTGAGCGACAATCTATGAGCGACTATGCGAATCTATTGAAGCCACCACAGCCAAACAATGCAAAAACATCATTAATTAATCGTTTCTTGCGCAATGTTACACAGAAGAAGATACTGGAATCTTCCATACGCAAAAATAATTTCTTTGCTGGCAAGTTGAAAAGTGAGCAGAGACTATTCTCGGGAAATTTGTATGTACCAGGAGTGAAACCAAAGAACTATGAGCTAATTGACGATTTGAATGCGGAAATTGCAATGGAGATTGAAATGTCGGGTGCTAATTCGCCGCGACGTGAGTTGGTGCAAATTGACGATCTGCCAGGCGATGTGTCGCGTTTCGAACTTGGAATTGGGGAGATATCAATTGATATATTTAATGGAAATTATCTGCATATACTGCGCGATCCCACAGAGCAGCTGATGAAGGTAAGTTGGGCATTTCGGTCGCTGATAATAAGTACTAACATCATACATTATTTCCACGTTCAGGTCTTTAAATTATACACCGGCTATAGTTGCGAAGGCTACATGACACCTGTTTTGGTTTTTCTTACCGATCGTACATTGTACGTTGCAGATTTAGTGCGCAATCGTTTATGCTCAAAATTCGTGCTCACCTACGCTGAGCTGGATGTAATACTTGTAAGCTTGATTTCGCGCTAGAAAGTAATACATTGCTTTGTGAATACATACATATGTTCTCTTTCAGATGGGTCCATTCGGCAACACTGTGTTGCTTAGCAATAGCACCCGAGATATGCAACAAGTATTACTTGCCGGTGGGCCATATCCCGCTGATGGTTTGGTAGCAAATTTGGAAATGTGCGCGCGTCGCAGCGGTTCTTCTTTGCCAGCTGTTGGCCAGCTATCATTTGCTCATCTTGCGCCATTGCAAGCCTTTGTGCGTGAAAACTCATCGGTAGGCGCCACAGACACTTGGATGTACTATGCGGTAGTGAATGTGCCCGCTGGCGTTTTAGGCAGTGAACAAGAGCCTTTGGGGCCGCATGTAAAAGGCTTTCTCATGCACCGACGCATAAAAGAGCATCAGTCTAATAATAGCGCAAACAAGCACATATGGAATCCAGGATATTTCCTTTTGAAGTGAGTTACACAAAGAGTCAAGCTATTTTATATAATATGAAACTTCTATTCTATGTTTTTTTAGAGCTGGTGTCTTGTACATGTTTAATGATTCGACCCAAAAAATACCTAGTTGGGCCATGGCGCTTGCTGAATGCCAAGGTGCGCGGCGGGCCGTTAAAGCAGGTCGACCACACTGTTTCGAAATAATTTTGAAAGGTCAACTGCTGCAATTAGCTGCACCAGATGAGTATGTCGCCTCCGAATGGCTGCAAGCGCTACTACAGACTGCAAGTGGTGTAAGTTTTTAAAGATGGTATCTTTATAAGTTTGATTGTATGTATATTAATTTAAATTTCTTCCAGCTTTTTGAGATGCAAGAGAAACATAAGACCCTTGGCTGTTCGCTCGTAGTGACCCAAAATCATTTGATCACATTGAGAGAAGATTTTTCCGCGCCACTGAATCAAATCAAAATTGATACTGAAAAGGCACCAAAAACCACAATGGCCGGTGTTGGCAAGGAATTCAGTGTTGGCGCTAATGATGAATGCAGTCTAATGACTGGAGAAACAGGAAGTTTGGTAATGTCAGAATTTTAATTTCCTGTAGTCGTCAGCCGTCTGATTTAATTACTGTTTATCGTTTATTTTATATATTTAATCATTACACTTACTTAAGTATTCATCTACCATCTTATCACAGCTAAGTTCCGCCATGAGCACACCTACGCGTTTCGCACAACGCTCCTGTTCATCTATGAATTCTACACCCACTAAACTCTCACAGCTATCGCAGTCCACAACTACAGGAGGTGGTAATACAACACATTCGACTTCCACCAATGCTACTACCACCACCACTACGAACGCAACCTCAATAGCCACTACTACCAACATCACTAACTATTCGCGGCAATTACAAGCGGAATGCGGCACTAAGTTACCCAACGCAAGTTACTCCAACATGTATAGTGTCTATGGCAAAAATTCCGGGCTCGAGATACTCACTTGCGCGGATATAAAAGAAATGACCGGTATTAAGATACCATCACACAATGATACATGGTGGTGTGTGTTGGAGTTCTCTTGTCAGGAAGTGCGTGAGAGTACTGATGATTTGGTGATCTTCTTTGCGAGCAGCTCGGAAATGCAACGCTTTCTGCGGCTACTCGAACACTTGTGGCAGGCAAAGAATGTGAGTAAATGAGTGGGAAGGGAGGGAGGTGGTGCAAAAATTAAGTCTCCTATTAACGATTTGGTTTTCTGCACCTTTTTAGAATGATTTATTCCCCATAACGGTGCTGGATGAGGATGACTTAATAGCCGAGCAATGCACTATGCTTTACATGGATATAAATCGTGCGTGGGAGCCGCTTTTATCCGCCGCAATGGGCTATCCATTGTGAGGCGTTTAAAAGCAATAAAAAAAAATGTGTGCAGGCAGGGTGGAGTTAAAAAAAAAACATATATACAACATATTTTTGCAAGTGAAATATGTTACTAAGATGCGCAAAAACACAAAAACAAAAGGTGTGGCTTCTCCTTCACCAAAATAGGCTTTCGTACTCTCAAAACTTATCTTAAACTTAATTAATATATGAACTATTTAAAGGCATATTAAACACACACAAACACATATTCATAAAAAGAAATGAAAGCAAGAAGCTATAGTAAAAAGCTAGGTGAAGTAGGGTTGAAAGTGATTGCTATTTGAGAGAATGAAGGAAATGCATACTTTGTTTTTGTTGGCAAGAATATTAAGTTTTTGAATCGTAATTTGGAACGCGTTATTTAAAAAATCTTCAGTAAACGATTAATTGCAGCTTATTTAAAAAATCGTTTATGGCTTGCTGCCTTTGGGTTTTTTTATGGTTTCCTCTAATTTTGTGTTTAGCCATTGTTTTTCGGGTTTAAAAAAATCGGATCAATTCTAAACGTTCAGTCATACTGTTGATATTGTTATAAACATACACACATTCATTATTTCATGAAACATCGCCATTAAATTAAGCTATTATTTTTTTAAATAAAATCGTGATATATTCATTTAAGCATACATAAGTAACTATTTTTTGTTGGGAAATATTTGCAAAAAATTGTGATTATTTAAAGTTGTATGTAATTCAACATCGAATTATTCATTGTTTGAAGCAAATTGATAGCAACTAATTTATGTCTGATATACATTTTTCGTGCATACAATGACATTTAAGTTTAATCGCACCAACTAATCGACAATGAGTTTAACAAAATGGTGCTTCCGTAAAATAAGCGCCATTAGTCTGTACTTATTTTCGAATACTGGAAGCTTTCATTCAGATATATGTACATATTCTACACAAATTAATGCATGATTATTTTTCGGCGTCATTGTATGCATTATCGAACAGTAATTTTTTCATTTGCCATTCATTAAAGTTTCATACATACATACACTCATACTTACATATATGTATATGCACTAATGTATTCAATTGATGTGTTTTCGCATCATTTATCTTTTCATATTGTGATTTTTTTATATTTATAGACATCCTAAGTTCATTTTTATTTAATTTTAAGCATATTTAAGCTTTGTAGCCTTTTTCGTCATGCATTATGGCCGATTATGTGCGAGCGTGCTACATGTGCGTATGAAAAGCACTTGTAGAAAACAGCACAAGAAATACGTATGTACATTAGTGAAATAATTAAATTAAATATTAATTAAGAACTCGTAAATAAAACAGTAAAGCTTCTTCTCAAAAGCCAATTGTTATTGCGTGCATAATAGTGTAATAAAATAATTTAATTATACATTTGATTTATGATTTTTCAAAGTTCATTTAAAACTGGTCATTCTCAAAATCAGGCATAAATATTTCGAGATATATATGTACGTATGTATATGGAATGAGATAATATAAAAAGGCTATATTATACACAAAATATACATTTAAACAACATTGCATGCCTAGCAAAACCTAAAGTAAAACAAAGAGGAACAGCAATATACATACATGCATAGAAATATATAAGAAAACAAAATCTTAAATTGGTCTTGTGGAATGCAATGTTGGCAAAGCGACGCTTATGTGCGTATAACTCTAAATACACGCATACATGCACACAAAAATATTATAATAAGTTCAGAAATAAAAAAAAAAGTAATTTAAATATATGCATACATATGCATGCAATTCATGAATGGTATTATTATACTTATATACATACATACGTCTTGTCAAATGTTACAAGCTTTCATACTTCATATACAAACTTCTAAAATAAAACTATAAACATATACATAGATACATACTATATATTTATACTATCCTCCTACTACGCTTATATTATTTTATTGAACGCAAATTTTTTTAACTACCCCAATAAGTTAGTATTTAATCCTTTTTATGCTCTTCTTTTTGTATAAAAACATAGTTTTCTGCATAAATAGGTATAATAACAGCTCTCAAATGCTTATATTTTTGTGTCAAAATTAGATTTAAAATCAAACAAAAAACGCTTCTTTGAGCAAAATATGTTGCCTTGTGTTCAAATTATGAATGAACCTGTTTTGCGCTGAACTCGCTTAAAAATTGTTTAAAAATGAACCTGGCTCGAGGTTATGGTTCAAGTACTTTTTTGTGAAAGGTTGAATTGAATTTTGATGAATTTATCAAAACAAAAAGTTTAATTACGAGATATCTATTAATATATAATTGGGCAAAAAGTCAAAAAAAAAATATATATGCAATATATTATTTTCATTCATTTGAAGTACCATATTTTGATCACGTTCTTTACGTTAACATTTTCTGGCAGGCAAAAGAGCACGATCTATGTACAGTGACTCAAAAGAGTGTTCACATGTTGATGCTTTCATTAAATATTCACAATGTACTTATTCAAGTTAACATTTTTTTATATTTATTTTATAAAAATTCTGTTCATCTGTGAAATTTATAAAAACTGGCGTTGATCTTTAGAAAATTTTTTGCAAACGGTATTTTTCCCTTTATTCCATAAGAAATGCATAATTATATGGAAAGTGCAAAAAGCCGTCAGCAAACAAAAGCTTTTGAAAATTATCACGATTTTTTGCCGCTTGAAACTTATACTTTATTATGGGCTATAAAACTGCATACGCAAAAATTTTCCATTAAAAATTTCGAAATTTTGAGAAAAAATTTTAAATTTTGCCTAGTGCGAATTCGGCATAACATTTGTCAAAAGCATCGTAATTTTATGTGAAATTACGAAAATCCCTTCATCTTTTCATAGAACAAGAACAGGCTCCCTGGAATTCGCTGAAAATCGAGTATTATGCAATTGTGAAAGATTTACTAATATTTCCCGCAAAAATCTCAAAATGTCAGGTCAATTGATTTGTATTAGGTAATTTCGCTGTACACCCCTGAGTTAAAAGTATTTTTGCAAGGAAATTTCGAAAAAAAAATTGGCCGAACCTAGGTGTCTCGTTTTTTTTTTTTCGATGGCACCTACATACATTCGGCAATAAAAAAAATACTAAAGTTATTCATAGGACAACTTTTTATTTGCTTTTATGAAATTTGCACAGATTTTAAATGAAACCCGTGTAGCGCAAATTTAGCAAAAATTAAGAATATTACCCAAATAGCGCAATTGGGAATGTGTGGAAACACACAGTTTTTTCTCTTTCAATATTACGATTTATTTATTTTTTTGAATTTTTAATTGGTTGTGCTAGAGTGGTTAGTAGCACAACGCCTTTTGCCTTAAAATAAACCAAAACCCTTTGCTTTTTAAAGATATTTATAAAAAACTTTTGACGATGAAAAGTTTTCTTTATAGAAATACATACATATGATATTAAAAAATCTCTGTTTATTGGTATGAAAACATTTATGATAAAAATAAAAAAGCAAAAATTGTTGCGAAAACCAAATAATAGCAAATAAAAACTTGGTTATTACCAAAAAATATGAGTATATTGTGTGTCTTTTTATTAATCGGGCGGATTTATTGAAAGCATTTTCATAGACCTTACGAAAAATCATGGACGATGGATTCGGCAGTAGCTCCTAGGGCTGGATTGCAAAGTCTTTTAAGACCGCGGTTGAACAAGAAATGGACTAGTAAACTTTTGTGGTGAGACAAACTCGCAGTAAGTTAGTGTAGTATTGAACCATTTCTCTTTCAAAAGCAAAAGAAGCAATGTTCAGGTACCCAGAGAAATCGGGTCTCACTTTATTATTCGCTTGCCAGATATAATCCAATTAGAACTATCGGAACTAGAAAAGGTTAACAAACTCTATAATGACACTGTATAATAGCCTTGGTTAGTGTGGTTTGCTCAGTCTGAGGCCCCCAAAGGTAGTGAGAACGTGGAAATATTCCAAGGAATTATCTACAACAGAAAATACGTGGAAAAATAATTTGACAGCTGTGGTCCGTAGTTCGTAGTTTTCATTGTGTTCGGACTATTTAGCATTTTCCCACGGCATCCTGAATTACTTTGTTCGCTCCCCCAATTACGATCGCGAGTTACCCCATTTCCACGGTGTTTTGTTTTTGTTTTTCTTCGCTGCAAAATTTATGCAAAATGTAGGTTCTTCCTAAAAATTTATAAATTTCCGTATTAAATTAGGAATATATACATTGATAAACTTTACTTTTCGTACTCAGAAAAAATGGATGTTTTGATTTTTGAGCTAGTTTCGATAAATTTCCGTTAAATTAGGGACGGAACCGAAATTCGCTCTCAAACTTTTGTATGGCGAATTACATAATTCGAAGGGTAATTGGAGTGCGAATTACGAATGAGAGAGCGAACTACGTAATTGGTGTGCCGTGGGAAAGCCGTATTATTATGCTGGCATATAAGCCGTTTATTTTTAAAGTGGCATAAGTCACCTTAAAAAAAAAAAATCGAGTTAATGATAACATGGATTACACCGAGCAAAAGTCAGTTTTGCACAAAAAAATATATGCTCCCAAAAGTAGAAGCCAAATATAGTAAAACTACGTTTTTAGTTTCTTTTTTTGGAGAAAAAAAATTAAACGCATTTTTACTATATTTATTTGGCCGCTAATTTCGTGAGTATATTGACTGGTTCGAGTGTTTTTAAATTTGTTTGTTTTTGTCGCACGGAGTTACAAATTCATTGCAGGGATTAGTGATGCTGAAATCTGTCGAAGGTTCGGTTTTGCTACCTTTATGAAAAGTGGTGTTTTTCCACGACTATACGAAATTATTTATGCTGAGAAAAATATAAGTATCCTCCAGGTTGGCCTTTCATCGAGTCATTAGGAAGTTGGCAACGTTGGCGTCGTTAGAAATCTGGAATCAGATTTTAAAAATTCAAAGTTTCGGATCGATGTTGGATCTATCATTTATCACAGGAAAGATAAAGATAGATTCGTAATCAACCACCTTAAGAACCCCCGACTGTAAAGTTTTAAGCGAACCTAAGTAATTTTTTTGCCGCCATATTGGGTCCATTTTCAGATTCGTAATCAGGGACCCCAAAAACATTAAAATATGTCATGGCCCAACATTTTTGCATCAGTTTTGTAAAGAAATTAATTAATTCAGCGTCTTTTGACTTACTATAGGGGTATTCTCCGAGTCTTGCAAAGCCATACGCAAACCGGTTTTTACCGTGGTATCCGTGCAAGTTATAGACCGCAGGCAATGATGCCCCGTATTTGCTGGACAAAGATAAGCTAATGAATTTTATGCTGGGTTTCCACTGGGCATTAAATGGCAAAAATTACAAATGGCAAAGTTGGACATTAAAAAATTACCGTGTCATTATGTGAAAAAATAGTCATTGAATTTATTTGCACACGGCCTTTTTTTTAATTGCGAACATTTTTGTCATTTCAATGCCTAGTGGAAATTCGGCATAATATTTTGGCGTTTAATGATTCTCAAAGTTTTTTTTTATTTTACGTTATTTTTTATTTTGTTTATTGATCTATTTATAAATAATCTTTTAGACATATAAATCACTCAAACTTATAAAACTTTCAAGTTGCTACGAAAAAATTTAGACATTTTTTTCAATTTCCCCCAAATTGAGGCTCGTCCACAATTTCAACTGACATTTTTTCTGTGGCCGAATTGAGAAAGATACCACAATTTCAAGCTGGAATTGAGAATGGTGCTCAAATTGCGAAATTTGGGGCTCGTGGAAACCTACTATTATTAGCGAGTTCGAAGATATTTGCGTTACATATATTTAACACCAAGTCATCAGCTCTGTATCTTTCGTTCGATTTTCAAAAATGAGGTGTAAAATTAAAGGGCTTGTCCTCTTGGCGTGAATGTCGTTTTAGTTCTATGAAAAGGATTGCCACATGTTATAAAATCAAATTCCAAAATTAATTAATAAGCTAAATAAATTATTAACCACATATGTACGTACGTGTATCAATCGAAATGGTTTTGACAAAGATTTGTTTTTTTAACTACGTGTAAAAAGGTTGCCACCTGTCTAGAAAGCCAACTTAAAATTAATTCATCAAATAACTGATAAACATACATATGCTCATACATATGTATCTATCACAATGTCGAACGAAAGAGTTTTAAGAAGGTTTAAGTATGAACATACCTTTGAAAAGGATGGCCACCTTTTTGGAAAACTCGCATTTAGTTAGGCTATACAGAAGTTACATATGTACATATGTGCACGGAATACTAAAATGTGAGCCTGAAACGAAAGAGTTTTAAGAAATCTTTATTTAGCCAATCAAACTACATTTGAGATCTTTGAACAGGGTGGCCACCCGTTCAAAAAAGTAAATTCAAATTATTGAAGTGAAACTTTTTAATCGATCTCGCAGATGTTTGCGGTTAACAATTAACGCCACGGTGAAAGAAGTATATGGTCGTGACAGGGACGGGAGTCGGGAGAATACTAAGGCAAAGTTTCTGGAAGTATGATCGAATTCATGGGAATTTTTCCGCAAAATAAAAGAAATAAACGCCAAAAAAAGCTCATAAGCTTTCCTCAGCCGCACTTACCCAATCTGCGAACCATTTCCGCTATGCGCATGCGCCTAACAGTCCACCAACATTTCCGGCTAGCATACAAACAAAAACTTAATATTCAACCTGCGCGCCAAACAGGCATTTCCACCATTCGGTTGAAGACCTCCGAAGGATAGAAGGAATGCACTAGCGAGAGAGAGAGAGGGAGAGAGCGAGTTAGAGAGGGAAAACAACAAAAGCACATTTTCCAAGAATTCGCCACTACCGCTAGACTCTAAAGCGTTGCGTACAAGGCGGTCACTGCCATTCGACGACAACAATTTCAGGTGTCATTAGCGGAAATTGCTACCGACGGCTATATCTATGTATTACTATTGTATTGTATTTTAATGAGTTGACTTTAATAATTCCGAATTTGTGTCCACATCTACATAAATAAATACTACGTGCTACAATAAGAACGTGCAACATGCATTTAAACTAAAACTTTTTACAAATTTTATAGTAAGTTTACTATGTATTGAGAAAGTGTGTGTGTGTGTGTGTGTGAAAAGAAAAACAACAAACCAACAAAAAATCGATTTGCAGACATAGACAAAAGTGGTTTAAAGCAAAAACGAGATATGTACATACGTACATATAATGTGTATGCAGAATTTATGCATGCACATACATACATACATATGTACGTATGTGTTTGCATTCGTTTATGTGTAATATTTTGTTTTTGTTGAAAAGTGAAAAGCAACCCTCCAGGCAGGA